TTTTTATGATATGCTTGATTCTGCAAATCAAGAAGTGTGGCCTGGTTGTGAAACACACTCAAGATTATCAGTTGTTTCTCGTTTGTTGCACATCAAGACTGAACACCACCTCTCTGATAGATGTTTTGATGAAATTTGTCAGTATATGAGTGAGATGCTTCTGCCTGATAATGTGATGCCAAAAAATTTCTATGAAACTAAAAACTTAATGAGGGGGAATGAACATGCCAGTTGAAAAAATTCATACTTGTGTCAATGCCTGCATGATTTACTGAGGAGAGGATAGTGCGCTTGTAAATTGCACGTTTTGTAGTCATCCCAGGTACAAGCCTACAAGTCAAAGATCTATTTCAAAGAAAAATCTTGTACCATTTAAACAGATGTATTACTTTCCTCTTACTCCACGACTGCAACGACTGTATGCTTCCAAAGCAACTGCTTTGCACATGTGATGGCATGCTGAACATGAAGTTGAGGAAGGTGTAATGCGTCACTGTTCAGATGCACCTGCCTGGAAGCACTTTGATAAGAAGCATCGATCTTTTTCAGAGGAAAGTCGTAATGTTAGATTGGGGCTATCAACAGATGGGTTTCAACCATTTGGACAAACGGGAAAACAATATTCATCTTGGCCAGTAATTGTGACACCATACAACTTGCCTCCTTGGATATGTATGAAAGATCCCTATTTATTTTTGTCAGTTATAGTTCCTGGGCCAAAGAATCCTAAGCAGCAACTAGATGTTTCTTGCAGCCTTTGATTGCTGAATTGAAGAATCTATGGAATATAGGTGTCAACACATACGATATCTCTAAGAAGCAAAATTTCAAAATGCGAGCTGCTTTGATGTGGACAATCAGTGACTTTCTTGCATATTTAATGTTGTCTGGGTGGAGTACTGCGGGCAGGCTAGCATGTCCCTATTGTATGGAGAATTATGATGCTTTTACTTTGACAAAAGGTGGTAAGCAGTACTGGTTTGACAACCATCATAAGTTTCTGCCACTGAATCATCCATATAGAAAGGATAAGAGCTCATTTAGAAAGAATAGAGTAGTAACCATGCAGCCTACCCCATTCCGGTCAGGTGAAGATGTCTTAAAAGGGATAGAAGAACTGGGACTTAAAAAGGTAACAGAACTTGGGGTTGATATTATTAATCATCGGGTTAGTAGGTTTTCTGGTTGGAAGAAGAGAAGCATATTCTAGGATTTGCCATATTGGAGTACCAATCTCATTCGGCATAATCTAGATGTGATGCACATTGAGAAGAACTTCTTTGAGAATGTGTTCAACACAGTGTTGGATGTAGATTGTAAAACAAAAGATAACCCAAAATCTAGAGAAGACTTGAAAGAGTTCTGTCAACGACCTGAATTACATGTTGTTGATGGAAAATACCCAAATGCTATTTACACACTAAAAGAAGATTCAAAAG